CGTGTAGGAAAAGACACCTTGACTGAAACAATCTCAGCGTCAGTAGGCGTACTAAAACAGAAAAGTTCTGACTGGAGAGTGGCTTTAACGGCAATTAATACCCCACCACCTCGAGTCAGCCGATCATTTCTATGCAAAATAAAATTATTCGAAAAAACCTCAAAATCAGATATGGTTGAATTTAACCATGTTTCTGAAAATGCGATTATATCCGAATCGAAGGAAGTGCTGGCCATGAAAAGATTTTTGAGTTTTGAAATGAGACCTCTGACATTCTGATAATGAATAGAGACTTGGTCAGAAGAAGAAGTTAGTTTTTTGGGGCAGAAATGGTACCCTGTATTGAAGGGACTGGAAGGGTGACAGGCTGGTTACGCTTTTTTGGCTTGAACTCGTGAACAATCATGTGTGGAGGCCAAAATTTGGGATCACAAATGATTGGGAACATATCATGTGAAACATTTATTTTGAATGATGATATTTCACGAGGAGTGGAGAAATTAAATTTAGTAATTGACACGCTAGCAGAAGATTTGCTAGCAATATAGGCTGCCAATGACTCAGAGGTGGTGTCAGACGAAAGTCGAGACACAAAAACTTGCTTACGAGGGGCAACAACAGTTAACGTAGGCGCTGATGGGGCTGCAGGGAGAACAGGATTTGGTGGGGCTAAAGAGGCACCATGATTGTTTTTAACAATCTGGGCAAGATTGCGCGCAGGTATATAACTGGCGCCGGCGGCATCGATTATGAGATCGTTCTGCTGGCCGTCAGCAGCGTGTTCAAGCGGGATCCGTCCCAGGTCTGCTCACTGCGCGTGCTGGAGGCGGGCCTAAATATCTGCGAACTTCTCATCGAGATGGGCGTCCTAAAGCTGGGCGAACATGCGCATGAGATATCGATGGGCATAGCACGACGTGCACTCCAGGTGCTGGGCTGTCCCCATGGCTGCAATGATGGTGAGTGCTTTTCACATAACTGAGGTAGAAAATTAGAGTTGGGATTAAATTAAAATTACATTAATATTAAAAAGATAAACAAGTTAGAGATTCTAGTCGGGAGCTCCCGACTAGGGGATACCCTGAACCCTCTTATTCCAACGCCAAATGCAGCTCGCACTACGCGTTCGTTTGCTTTAGTAGTAATAATGATAAATTAATAAAAAAAAAATGTTCCCTTGGCAGGGTTCAAACTTGCAACTAACCGCACTACTTACCGCCGCCTCTACTCAACAGCCAAGCCAATAACTGAATTTTAATGAGCAAAAACGAATTAAAATAGCAGCGCAAAAAACAATACAATCGCAATTGCAATGCTGTTGATAGAATTCAAAGAAGACGATCGTAAATGTGTGTGTGTACATGTATACAGATATTCTTGGAATTTGCGCTTGTTGCCGCTGATAGGAGAAAAGTCAAAACACGTTTTCTTTAATTATTTTTATGTTTCTTAACCGATCTTGATTTTTTTTTTTGTGTTTAAATTCTTTTATTTACAGCTAATCTTCTGTTAAACCGATCCTGATGAAATTTTCTACTGCACATCTTATTGGACTATAGAATATTCGCGTATTATCAAAAAGTCAATTGCATTTAAATTGTGGCTTATATGGCAGCATAAATTGGTGTTTTTACTTGATTTATAGCTATGATGTAGTAGCAGCAAAGACAATATAAACACTAAGATGAGAAACGCCCATACATCAGCATGCGACGAAAAATTGCATGCCTGGCGTTTATATTGTGTGTGTTTATATTGTCTTTGGTAGCAGGGAGTTGGGAATAGCTATAAAATGAAAGATAATTGATATATTTATACTATTCTAGAAGCTACATGTCAAGTTTGGTGACTCTAGCTCTTACTATTTACCAAAGTTGCTCAAAAAACAGGATTTCGATATCGATTTTTATCGATTACTTGGAAATGGGGCAAGTTATCGAATATCGGAGGACCTACAGCTAAAATTTCAAGTCTCTAGCTCTTATAGGTTCTGAGATCCTTGCGTTCATGCATACGGACAAACGGACAGACAGACAGACGGACATGGCTAGATCGGCTCGGCTATTGATGCTGATCAAGAATATATATACTTTATGGGCTCGGAGATGCTTCCTTCTGCCTGTTACATACATTTGCACAAATACATTATACCCTTTTTACCCACTTTCAGTGGGTTCAGGGTATAAAAGATAAAAAGAGCTTTGACTTAGATACTTCTAGTGCATGAAAATATCGTGTTCGATTCAATATATAGACTCTCCAAATTATATTTAACTTTTGGAATACCCGACACCATTCCGACCAAAATTTAAGAAAAGAAAAGGGAATTTTTTCTAACTTTTAGTCTAGTCTATAACTTTGGTATTTTCACAGATTTGGGTGCCATATTTATTTAAGCAATTAAAAAAGGAAGCCGCAGGAAATTGCTTAGTCGGGTACTCCAGACAGTGCACTCTTATTAGTTTTATTTATATTCCATCTTAGGGCGAATAAGCATTTTCACTGCTTTGACAGAATTAAATGTTTCCCAATTAATGCTTTGCTGATCATCGACTTTGTACGGCAAATATCTCCCATTAAGGTTACTAAAAATATAACAATTGTTATTTCAAATTTGTTAAATAATTAAAGTTATTTGATAACTTACCCTCCAAGGTTTAAGCCGTCAAATAACCAATAGCCACCGTGATACTTTTCGGAATATTTATTTGGACTATTTTCCCGGTCATAGGTCGAAAACTCAATGTTCAGATGACTAGTCAATCTATCTACAATACCAGTGAAATTACCAACACTGGTCAGCTTGTAATTTTCTGCTTCGCTACCAATAACAAAATTATCATACCGAGCCCAAGTGATTTCATTATCGAAGGTCTCTATGTAGATATACAATTCGCAACGCTGATAATTGGTCAGGCGATATATATATTCTAGACCTAGGAAAAACTCTTTATCCAGATTGCCGAAACCGTTACGGTAATCACCCCAATTCCTATAAAAATCCTCTGAACCATCGTATCTTCGTTGAATGAGAGTCCAACCAGGTCCTATTGAGTGACCATCGCACAAAACTCGAAAGGGACTTGCTCCAGGCAAGTAAAGTACCCTGATTCCTGTAAAGAAGCCAAACGGAACACAGCTGGTTGCTTCCGGCCTTTCAATTCTTGGATTTGACTTAGTTTTTTCCAGTAGAGCCTGACACATCTGCAGCTGGTCTTCAATCATTATTGATTGCATTTGTTGATTATTATTGTAAACCATTACTTGAAGGCTATTGGCGGTGGTCTGTAATTCTATTATTTCTTGCTTAAGATCCACTTCAGATGCACTGCAGCTTGTGCTTGTGCAGTTTTTATTCAGTAGCAACTCGTTCGCTTCCCTTAAAGATTTAATCAGTTCTTCCTTGAATATATCCTCAACCAATTTTAATTGAAGCTCAGCTATTTTTTCCTTCAGTTGATTTGAATACTATTCAAATAATTTAGTTATATGTTCTTACATTTTAATAAAAGTATTAATTACCTGGTCTTGTGCTTGTATGGTCCCCAGCAACAATACCAATATGACAAATGAGATTCTAAAAACCATTTTATACACTTCACTTTTTGCTCAGTGACTCTTGCTGTGCAGCTCAGACAGCTATTCTCGTTCAGAGCTAAAAGTCAACTAACTCTCGGCATCTACTTTTCGATAATGTTTAAAGTGGTCCTAATGCAATTAGAACGCAGCATTAAACTGTAACTGAAACCGGTCGATCTTTTTTTAATGTTAAATCAGTGCAATTTATATGCCGGTTTGGCGGAAATTTAACTTTTCCAGAATTCTGACTGCACATATTTTCGGTTGAGTCAAAAGGCTTTGAGAGGACTCCAGTTTACTGTAGTCCTCATGGTAATAATCATGGACAACTCTTGTAGGTCGTCAATAAATTATTGTCATTTCACCTGAAAGGCAATGAGAGCTGGTGAAGACCAATCAATATTAGAAAGATTGAAGTCGCCAAGAGCAGCCAAGAGGTCATTATCAGATAGTAAGGAGGAAATGAATGGATTTCCACCTGCAAGCTCAGTCTCCAAGAGGGGAGTTACGTCAATTAATAACTCGACTTCCACGTTTTTCTTCTCCTAATATTTATATTTATGCATATGGGCTATCTCATAGTCGGGCTATTTAAATTGTTGTATTAACTTGACACGAGATTCCGAGATTCAATTGTTAAAACAATTTTTTGTTCGATTTATGTACTTCGGATTCCATTGACATTTTCATATTCTAACCCAGATCACATAGATGGGGCTCTGTGTAAGAATCTTTGATGACCAATTTTGACCAATTTAAATATATTGAAAACCATTTATTTTATTTGTTGTGTATTGCCTAATTTTTTTCTATTTATTATTCTGAAGAGACCCTCCTGACTGACCCATTAACAGGTGTTCGCGGTCCGCCCGCTGATTTTCTGCGCAATCAGAGCTAGAAGATTATCGCGCGTATGTTGCGGAAGGGATGGGCAGCGCACCAAGCACTATCTATATAGATAGGCACGCTTAATCCCGAGATATCCTCCACATTCATGCGGCACGCCTCGCTGAAGATTCAACGGGGTCGTTCCAGCGACGGCATCGGCCGTTCCATACAGCGCGCCAAGCGACGCGTCGAGCGACGGCTGAACCGTTTCGGCGGATTTGTGAAGGGCAAAAAGAAGGTGGGCGGCATCGAAGAGACAGCGGATTACAGTCGACGCAGCTCGTCAGACATGTGCGACGGCCCGCGTGAATCCGAGGTGGTCATACTCAAAGAGCGCAAACTGGTGCCCACTGAACCGGTGCGCGTTGGCATGCTCCGCTTATCCTTTCTGCTGGAGACCTGTGCGCCAGGCACCTTTCCAGATCCTCAGCTGATTGCAGCCGTCTTGGATTTGGTATGACACCATTTTCATTCCAGTAAGCAAAATGTCCAATCTTTTCCAATTACAGCCCCAAGCGCCGTTGATCACGCTTGTGCATCACACTTTGTGCATCTGTTCAACAAGGGTCAGTGGCCCATTTGGATGAAGCAGAATGTAGGCGAATATCGTGCCTCAGGCGCCAACATTAATCCCGCACAGATGAAGCAACAGGTCAGCCAGACTAGTGCCCGGCGCACACACATCCTGCTGCGTGCCGCGGGCAAAATGTTCCATCAGTGGGCGGAGATGGTGGGCGCTCGTCTTGAGGAGCTGCTCTTCACCGAACGACTGCAATACGAGGCGTTGAATGCAAGTCTAACGGATCCAGAGAAGCAGCGCGAGCTTCTGCAGCAGGATGAGGAGGAGGATTTCCTGGACGAGTCCTCTGTTAATCCGCATGGCAATGACTGCCCGCATGCACTCAAGCTAATTGCCTGCGTGCTACTTTTTGAAATTACGGCCTTTTTGCGAGACACCTATATCACACTGCCCAAGACATCCAAGATGCTGCACCGCGACCGGCCCGCACCCTGGGAGAAGGTGTACCGTGAAGCCAATAGACGCTGGTCCATGGCGCTCAGTTCCATGGGCCACTCGCATACCTCTGCACAGAGCCTGCAGTCCATAGCAGCAGGCAACGATGGCGCCGGCCAAACGGAGCGCAAAATCTCCTTTGTCCTGCACGAGCCGGACAACGAATCGGAGAACAGCAGCAACACCACCTTAACCAAGGAAGGCAAGGAGGGCGAGGAGGGTGAGTTCTTAGGTTTTTTTAGCATATATCGGATATAATAAATTATAGGTTCTCCCATAGTACCATATTTAATGTTTAAGATTTTTCCAGCTATTAAGAGCTGGGTGCAGGGCATCTCCCTGTGGGGCAGTCTTCACTAAACAGTCATTGTCTTGTTTATAATTATATTCATTAGCAGCTCGTCGTCCTACCGCCTCGACAGTGCGTCCGTTCCTGCTGCGACGCGGCACGGCCACCACTACTGGCGGTTCCTTTAAGCGTCGCTCGCTCAAGCTGCGCCGAAATACCAAGGATAGCAAGGATATTGAAACAGATTGTATGTAAATATGTTGAATCCATAAGACCTTTAATATATCATGATCCTCCCTCATACAGTCAACATGCAGTCGCGGCGTAAGGTTTCCTCGCTTTCGGACCGCAGCGATACCTCCGAGCAAGGCGCCATCAGCGGTGGTGAGGAATCGCCGGGCATACTCAGCGATGATCAGCAGCCGGAATCGCCAACAGACTCTAATGAGAACGACGACACGGCCAAGAACATGCCCTGGCTAAAAGCTGTCATTGATCTGTTAACCAGCTACAATTACTACTGCACTCACAGGGGCTACTGTCATCCCTTCTGCTACAAGCGGCACATGCGCTCCTGCACCCGGCTGATAAAGGCAACGCGTAAGGTAAGCCCAACATGGATGTGGTTCGGTTCACGGCCCAAATTACTGCCTGTCTTGAGGTTTGCTGGGTGTAATCGGTTTGAACCTAGGCTAAAATTTTTTTTGCAAAACTTAGTTCAGTTTGAGCTCGGCTACTTTTTGACGAAATCGGATTATTTCTCGAATCGTAAAAAAGAAAATTCGAATGGGCTTATAACTCTTCACCCCAGTGTCGGTCTACTCGTAATTTGCTATGGATTTTGCAGGTTTATGGTGAGGAATTCGGTTTCTCTTTCGATGCGGATCATCCCAACGTGGAGCCCACAGTCATTAGCTCCAGCAAAGCCACAGCTCGACCTCGTTCGACCCGCAAAGTGTCAGAGCAAAGCTCCACACAAACGTCTCCGTCCAAGCGCAAGGACAGTTTGTCCCGTAAAGATCGGTAAGTCTTTAGTTAGCTTATTGCTGGAATATCCTGCTTAAAAAAAGATTAATTTGCGCAGCATCAGCGATGATCCGGACATTGAAATGGCTGCGAAACTGGCGCGCGCCTTTCGCCAGGAGAAGGAAAAGAAACTGCAGGAGGAGCCACCTATACTGAAGTTCATACGCATCCACATACGCAATCTGTTCCACTTTCCGCTGACCACCATGCTGAAGGGCGCGGTGGTCCTCACCGAGGAGCTGGTGATTGAGGCCATGCCTGCCGCTTGGGAGCTGCTTCTGGAGACCAACCACGACACAGCCACCTCCAGTGCTGCTGTCTTCCTTATGGGCTCGGTGAAGGCACAAAATTTTGCCTTTGACATAATGCAGCGTGCCCTGAAGCACAAGAATCCGGATATACGCATTGGTGCGATTCAGCGCTACCTTGTGCTTTGGAAATGCCGCTTTCATGTCTGGCCACGCATGGAGGACAATGCGCACGATGCGACCTTTAAGGTGCCACCAGGAGGCATAGAATTTACGCTGCCCTCGCCCAAAATAGGTATCGAGAGTCTGCCCGTTGTGGATCCGCCCTGGATGCCCGTCCAGCAGACCAAGGATATGGATATGACACTGAACCAGGACAGACATGTGAGTGGACACATTTGGTTGCCAGGTATTCATACTCAATCCTAACCGATCGCAATCCGCATAGCGTTCGCTGGTGACCGCCACGAAGAGCCGCAAAATGCAACAAACGGAGGCGATTCGGAATGCACTTCGCCAGCAGCGAGACAAACAGCGCGCAGAGCGGCACAGCTTTCTCATCACCATGATACCAATCAGCCAGCAGGCCTCTCATGAGCCAGGCATGGAGCATGAGGATCATGAGATCGAGGAGGATCTGGATGGCACACGCGCCTCCTCACACCTACATCACGCCCACTCGCTGTTTCCATCGGTGCTGTGCTCCTCTGTTATGCAGATTGTTGGCTGTCTGGATGATGCAGCCATTGGCTCCGATGGCAATGCCGTTTACGAGGTGGCCTATCAGGTAATCTGGGTATGCCTGGTTGAGGAGTCGGCCTTGTTCTTGCGCTATGTGTTCGAGCGCCTCACACGCGATCGCCAGGATCAGATGTTCAAGCTGTTGCGACATTTAATACGCTTCGTGCCGCGCCTGCCGCAACAGGCCGCATTTGCCCTATACAACTCCATCATTGGCTATATAATGTTCTATGTGCGCTCCTCCAATGAGCTCAAACAGGAGGTAGGCCTCAAAGCCAAGCCCTTAGTGTACTTGTGCTTATAAATCCCTTGTTTTCCAGCTGGTGGGCTCTGCTTTATCCGTTCTGTGGATGGATCATGTTCAAGGATCTGAAGCAAATACTGCGCAAGGAGCAGTGTGATGCATCGATTCTGCTCACAGCCAATGTGCCTGCCGCCAAGAAGATTGTGGTGCACGGTCCGGCGGATGATGACTACAATATACCCTCGCAGTTTCCTGTGCAGGAGGACACGCTATTCTGCCAACTGCTGAAGGAAGCTTTAGACTATTATCCCATTGACGAGAAAAGCATTACACATTACTGCCTGGTCGACTACAAAAGCAGTAAGTATACCATCCTTAAAACGGCATAGACTCGCTTCATCCTGCTGGTTCCTTGCAGACAAAATACTCAATCCCAACTGGTATATACGGGATCTTTACTTCTTCAAGCGCTCGCAATATCCAGAGGTGCGTTTAATGCTTATGCGTACGGAGGAGTCCTTCCTGGCACTGCAGAAACAGGAGCTAACGAAAAAATTTGTCGAAATTGGCAAGGTGCATCTAACCTGGGCTATACTCAAAAATGTGGACATGGTAGTCCAGCGAGTTGTTTTTCTGCACGAGGAGCTGATGAAGTTGCCCTCGTTTCCGCGCAGGGCGCTCGAAGTGGATCTGGATCTGCATCATGGGGGCGCATATGGCAAGGTGCTGCTCGGCCTGGACGTGCTGCACAAGTTCATGTGGGTGCGATTGATAGCCCGCATGTTTGAGGCCATGGCTGGCAACTTTGCCTACTCGGCGGACATACAGCTGTTCCTAAATGTGCTCTCCGGCGCATCCATACTGCATGCTGAGGATTCATGCATCATGCGCTATGTGATGGCTACATTCATCAATGCTGCCTTCAACTTTAAGAACATATTCTCCACGAATGTCTATTTCATGATCATGCCCACTTTGCTTCAGGTGTAATCCCTCCATCAAACCAACAAGCTGATCACCACTACCACCGAGTACGCCGTAAAACAGTTCTATCTTCTTAATCGGAAGCCCTTCATCCTGCAGATGTTTGGCTCCGTTTCGGCTATACTAGACACGGATGAGGATGGCACCTATGGCGAGGCACATAAGGTCCAATCCAGCTGCTTGTTCAATCTGTTGCTCAGCCTCGAGGATCCCTCACCGGATCCGCTGAATATAGCCGAGCTGGTTAAGGAGCCAAAGCCCCTTAAAGCCATTGACTTTTATTATCACGACGAGGACGACGATGTCCCCGTGCTGGACTGCATCACTTTGTGCGTAATGGTCGTCTCATACTCGGCAGAGAGCACGCGTGGCTACCAAATGCTGGTAAGTATTCATTAATTGAAACGACGATGAATTGTGTGGATATGTGCCCGCTTGAAGTCTATTATAGCAATAGACATCGAATTTTAAATCAGGGAACCACTTAATATTTTTGATTATAAGTAATTTCACTTACCCAAAACCGATATATATAAATTTTCAGACCTACCTATGTATAGAGATTCTCCTATATGTGCTGTTCGAATTTTTTTCTTTAACTTTTCCAATACTTACTTCGGTTTTAATAACTCGGTAAATATCAATTTCCTTTACAGATAACTTGTTTAATAGCTTCCGCCGTTTCCCTCAAATTAAAATAGGTGTTTAGGTATATAGCCTTGATTTTCAAATATGTTCGCATTAGAAAAAAGTTATTGTAAGAGATATTTCCGTAAGAAATTAGGAATGTCTGTTATAGCTGTTTGAAGCTGGGTACAGGGTACAGAAATACTTTTACTTGCTTTACGTGGATTAATTCTCAATTGATTCTTAATTTTCATCAGATCATTTTGGAGGCAATACTGCCCTGTTATCTACAGCAGATCCAATCTCCCAGCTATATACCACTGCAGGGCAAATCCGAACGGGATATAATACTCCAACTAGCCGTAGCCATACGCACTATGGTGCATAACTGCGAGGGCCTGGCCAAGAGCTACAATGGGCCCTATCGCAACAGTCCGGAGCATAAGGGATCATCGCAGCGCAACTGCAGTCGCGGACCGCCCTGCTCGCCTGGCATGGATTTTGAGGAGGAGTCGCATACGAAATATGCAACAGATCCGCGAACTAAAAACATGATGGACTCTGCCGAGGATTCGGAAATGATACGCACCGAGTACCGACGTCCCAGGGATGTTCTGCTCTCCGTTGTCGCTGATTTTCTAATCAAGTCCACCACACGGCTATTCGAGCTGGCCAAGAAGCTGCCGGCGAACGATAGCAAGCCCACAGAGGTGCTGGACGCCAAGTGTCACATACGCTTGGCGGATATTGCGCACTCGCTGCTGAAGGTGTCACCCTACGATCCTGAGTCCATGGCCTGTCGTGGCCTGCAGCGGTACATGCAGTCGGTGCTGCCGCGGGCCGAGTGGTCAAATGATACACTCCGGAATGCTTTAGTCACGGTGCTTCGCCGCATCGACAAGGTGTTTCTTAAGATATCCAAACAGCCCTCAATACGCCGAAATACGGATTGGGAGGCGGCCGCCGGATTGCTCAAGGGCATACACGAGACAATCATTAGACATCCTTATGTCCTGCACTGGCAGCAGATGAAGACTCTGATCTCAACCGTGCAGAATCTGATTGTCAATGAGCCGGGCAGCGGCGGCATACCCGAGGGTGTGTCCAGCGCAGGTGCAGCGCTCATGTCTCAGAATCCGCCGGCCTTTTTCTGCTCGGCGGTGGTGCGCCTGGTGGCGCTACAGGTGGTCAGTCCCGTTGACTGTTTCTCGCTGGTCCAAATCTGCGGCGGCAGCGCCGAGGGCCGAAAAGGCCGAAGGATTTCTAATGCATCTAATGCATGCCACTGTGCTTGAAAGTCTGCTCCGGTCGCGGCGTCTCTGATGAGCTTAAGATGAGCGATGTCTCATTTCTCCTCACCGCTGTGCTGAATGCCATGAGTCCGCCGGCTGGCCGCACTGGCCGCAAAACGTTCCGGCTCAAGCGCAGTCGCCTGACGCCCATGGAGCCGCCCAGCATTGTAAGCAATTTGACAATTGACTTCTTGTTCGGCTTTCAGTTAATCCAAAACTAATTCCACAGGTCACTTCACTCTCACAGGAGGAGAATCAGCCCAAGGCCATCGGCGAAATATCCTGGGACTCGGTCTCACAAACATCATCCACATCCGGCTATCGAGATAACAACAGCCTGCAGACGGGTCTACTCTCTCCGGACGGCTCGCTCGGTGGGCTCACACTAGGCCGCTCACCCTCGCAGCACTCGCTGCTGATGGTATTCGAGGGTCAGGACGAGGACACGCTCATTTAACAATCACAGAACGGCGACCGAGCCTACGAGCTTTAGGACAGCCTGAACGTAAAACTAAATTAACCACAGATATTTAAGCTAGCCTTAACAATTCGTTGAACAATTAAATCAGTTCATGTTAAGTTTTTTTATACTTAAGATTGTTGTTGTTTTTTCATTAGAATTGAATTGAATTGAATTGAATTAAGAAATTATAATAATAAATTAAATTGATAGCGGTTCGAAAAGTTGAAGTGTTTCCTTGGAATATTTAAGATTAGAAAAAAAAAAAGTTTTTAAAGTTTGCTAGTAAGAAGTTACGTAACGGAAAATGGGAGTATTTTACGTGTCCGTGAAAACCCAAAAGTCTAAAAACAACGTCAGATTCTTTTAAGTATTCATTTCTAAATCATTTCCTATATTTTTTTTCATTATATATGTATATAACTAGCGATTATCGCCCCGGCCTTGTCCGTGGAAAGTCTTGTGTTAAAAATTTTTTATATTACCTTTCCACTAACGCCCGTGGAAAATAGAATCCTGATCTCCAATTCTGTTTAAAAGTATGATTTAAGTGCATCGCATAAAGAATCAAGTGTTGGAATCGACGTCATTAGAAGAATAAACATTTGTTAATTAAACCTTTGAAGTGCATTTGCCACCGCATTTTTCGAAGAGTGTTAAACACTCATCAGATGAATTTTGACAAAGATCTTTGAAAATGATATTGAAGTCGATCGGATGATAAACGGAAAAATGTCGGTAATTAACCACTGTTATGGGTGGAATTTCCCAAATCGCTGAAGCACATATTCATTTAGTTCTTATGTAGAGCTTTGAAAATCGGACAAAAAAATTAAAACTTCGCCCAAAAAATCTTGGAATCGCATCTCTATCGGAAAAACTTGGATTCTGCAAAAGTGTGAAGTGAGATCCTTGGAAATGAATTTGACCGCCATTTCCAGCAAGTAGGAAAATTGTGGAACACCTCTCAAATGTTTTTGAACAAAAATCTTTGAAAATTAGTTTGAGGCCGATCGATACAAAAAGGTATCAATTTTCGCGATTTTTCCACTGCTGTTTTTCTTATCAAGGCTCGTACAAAAGATGAGGTAGATGCACCAAACAAAATATATGGATTCTCGAATATTGTTTCATTCCCCCAAAATGAAACAAGTAAGAGTTTCTAGTCGGGAGCTCCCGACTAGGGGATACCCTGAACCCTCTTATTCCAACATCAAATGCAGCTCGCTCAGTTTGCTTCAGTAGTTATAAAGATAAATTAAAAATAAAAAGTTCCCCTGGCAGTGTTCGAACTCGCGACTGACCGCATTACTTGCTGCCCTCGGCAGGGTACAAACTCGTAACTGATCTCGCTGATTTCCGCCGTCTCTACTCAACAGCCACACCAACAATTAATGCTTGTTGAGAAAAAACGAATTAAAATAGCAGCACAGAAAACAATACAATCGCAATTGCAATGATGTTGATAGAATTCAAAGAAGTCGCGCATAAAAGTGTGTGTGTGAATGTATACAGAAATTCTGGGAATTTCCGCTTGCTGACGCAAACACGTGGGCATCCAAAACACATTTTCTTTTGTGTTTTTTAACCGATCTTGATGAAATTTTCACTAGAGCTTATTGTGCTATAGAATATTCGTATATTCTTAAAAATGGATTTTAACCATTTTTTATGGGTTTAGGGTATACAGAAAATCGATCCGTCAATAGGACTCGAACGCGCAACGGACCACACTTCTTGCCACAACCCCTACTCAACGGCCACACCACCCAAAAAATAAGAAAAAGTTTTCCTTAGTAGGCCTCGCCTCGTACCCGCAACATATATACATATATATATACCCCAAAAAACTAACTTCTTCTTCTGACCAAGTCTTTATTCACTATCAGAATGTCAGAGGTCTTATTTCAAAACTTAAATATCTTTTCATGGCCAGCACTTCTTTCGATTCGGATATAATCGCATTTTCAGAAACATGGTTAAACTCAACCATATCTGATTTTGAGGTTTTTTCGAATAATTTTATTTTGCATAGAAATGATCGGCCGAGTCGGGGTGGTGGGGTATTAATTGCCGTTAAAGCCACTCTCAAGTCAGAACTTTTCTGTTTTAGTACGCCTACTGACGCTGAGATTGTCTCAGTCAAGGTGTCTTTTCCTACACGGAATATTTATATTTCATGCTCTTATGTTCCTCCTTCTTCTGATAATCAAGTTTATATGAAACATATTTCTTGTATTAAAGAAGTATCTTCACACGTGCGTGATAATGACCTATTTATTGTCTTGGGTGATTTTAATTTGCCGAACATCACTTGGTCACTTTTCACTGCCGAAAATTATCTAGTGCCCTCAGCACAGCATGACTTTATAGATTGCATGCTTGACCTTTCGTTGTTTCAAATCAATTCAATTTCTAATCATTTGAATAGAACACTTGATCTTGTATTTGTTAACGACTACCTTATTTCTAATGTGTCTAGGTCCCCTCCTTTATCTCTTCCTGAGGATGTATATCATCCTACTTTAGAGGTTGCAATGTTCAATTGTAATCCTCTCATTTCGTGCTCATCAGCCAATAAGCCCCGCCGTTGCTTTCGCAAAGGAAATTATTCATTGCTGAATCAGCTTATTTATGCAACCGATTGGTCTTTCTTATATGACTCGGTTGACATGAATACTGCTATTAACTTTTTTTATAACACCCTAAACTCCCTCTTAGATATGTGTACTCCCAAGTCAATTCCTTCGACTACCTCTTCAAAGCCACCTTGGTTTACTCCCAGATTAACGAATCTAAAAAATATAAAATCAAAATATTTTAAAAAGTCTGGTTCGTGTACTGACTTGGCTAAATATTCCATAGCCAAGTCGAACTTCTTTCTTCTGAATTCTCAATGCTATGAGAATTATCTAACTCGTTGCAAAAGGCAATTTGCCCTAAATCCAAGACAGTTTTACAATTTTGTAAACTTGAAGCGTAAATCTTCAAGTTTGCCATCTTCTTTTTCTCTCGGGATGGATAAAGCTAGCAATGACTCTGATTCTGCTAACCTCTTTGCTAATTTTTTTCAATCAACTTACTCTTCAGTCTGTCCTCCCCCTATTATTTCCCATTCCTCTCTCCTTTTAGCTTTAAATTCTTTAAAATCTTCTTTCTCTCCTGGGCCTGACAATATCCCTAGTTGTCTACTCAAGGAGTGTAGTTCTTCCCTTGTTTATCCATTGCTAAAGCTTTTTAATCTATCCCTCGATTCTTCTGTCTTTCCATCTCTTTGGAAAGAATCTTATATCATTCCTCTCCACAAGAAAGGTGGAAAGTCTGATATACTAAATTACAGGGGCATTGCAAAACTGTCCGCTATTCCTAAATTATTTGAAAAAATAATCACTTCGAATTTGCAGCATTTCTGCAAATCAGTTGTTTCCCCGTAAAGAATCGGTCTACTACGACCAATCTGCTTGAGTTTACTTCCTTGGTAAATGATGCTTTCTTTTCGAAAATGCAAACTGATGTCATTTACACTGACTTCAGTAAAGCGTTTGACTCCGTGCACCATGACATTTTACTTTTTAAACTTGACCGAATAGGTTTTCCTCAGTATCTTTTGCTTTGGATTAGTTCTTATTTAAAAGGTAGGACCCAAAGAGTAATGTTGAGGCTGACTACCTCTAAACAGGTTCACGTTACTTCTGGTGTTCCTCAAGGTAGTCATCTTGGACCTTTACTCTTTACTCTTTTTATAAATGATCTTCCCTCTGTTATATCCCATGCCCGTGTACTCATGTATGCGGACGACGTGAAACTTATTCTATCATACACCAATCCCCTACATCATTCTCGTCTTCAAGACGATTTGAACGCTATGCAACTTTGGTGCTCGGCCAATCAATTGCATCTGAATTGTTCAAAGTGTATGTTTATGACATTTAATCGTACTACACCTTATCTGGTCAGTTATACAATCGACAATACTCCATTGCAACGTATACTAACAGTTAAGGATTTAGGCGTTCTTTTTGATTCTAAACTCTGTTTCAATCTTCACATAGATACCATCGTTAATGAGGCAAAAGGTGTACTTGGATTCATTAAACGATGGTCTAAAGAGTTTAACGATCCTTTTATAACGAAACTTCTGTACATCTCTCTTTGTTCGCCCTATCCTTGAATACTGCTCTTGCATCTGGTCTCCGCAGTATAACAATAGCCAGGATCGTATTGAATCTGTTCAGAAGCAATTTCTGCTTTTTGCCTTACGAGGTTTAAATTGGGACCCTAATCTTCGGTTGCCATCCTATTCCAGCAGGCTGCTTCTTCTTAACCTTCCGTCGTTAACCAACCGTAGGACAATTCTCGGTGTTGTCTTTCTACATAAGTTGGTTGTTGGCGATATAGATTCTCCTTTTCTGTTAGGGCGTCTTCAATTCTCTGTTCCGGCTAGACCAACCAGAAATTACCGCCCCTTATTCCTATCGACGTGCACAACAGACTACGCTATGCACAATTCTTGTATGTATGTAAAAATTACAACAGTTTGCATCACGTTTTCTCTACCCCTAATAAAATCGTTGCTTTCAGGATACCTTCGGGAAGTCACTGACCATTCCCAGCTATGAGCAGGGGCATAGCTTGCCGGACAGGCTGTAAATTTTCCCCCACCGGGTCGGTGATTTCCCATTACTTTCCCAATACTATCTCTTTATTCTATCTACTTAACACTCTGTATATCTAGCATACAGTTCTATACTTTATTAACAATCTTCCTCCTTTCTTTTCTCCTATTCATGGTATATTCTTAAATATTATAGCAAATTAACATTATTTTTAATTTTACTTAAGAACACTTTTTCCTACTTACACCCTTCTTCTTAGATGTAGGCTCTAATAGCGTCACTGACAAAATTAGCTGTGAAATGGGGCACAGCTGGCCGGACTGGCAAATAAAACACCTCCATCGGTCGATGATGCTATTCGAAATTTGTGTTCTCTATCTAGGCTTTTAGCATTTAATTTTTCTAATTGTAATTATAATGGGTTGAATAATTGGAAGACACTCGTTTTGTCGACCACATATAAATAAATAAATAAATAAATTAATATACATATATTTACATATACA